GCCAAACTGTCTAGCTGGAAAAACTCAAAATAATGTGTCAAGTTAGTCCGGAGTGTTCTTTATGTTTTCCAATGCCTTATCTGGGTAAAGAACTGAAAACTGGAATTGACCTCTTTTGGGCTGTGTGCTACACACGAATGAGTTTATTTGTGTTTGGTTTGAGAGCTAAGAGCCGATTAAATTACCTCACGTAGTATTAGTTAATCACGCTCTCAAAATAAACTCAAAACACTACAGCATTGATATTTTTTCAACTTAAGAAATAAAGTATAACAAAACAATTAATCAAATCAATATGTTTAATTAAGAGACATGGTTAAATTGATTCACAATATCAAAACTTTTTGCTGATATGCAATTTCTTGTACATTTAAAAAAAAAAAAAGTTAATGTTCTCAAATTTTGTTTTCAGACGCCATAGTCTCATATTCCTGGATTGTCCAGCCGTTTATCACTTTTTGGGGGCTGTGTACTTGTCGTTGTTTGGATTTAGCTGGACGCCGTGATTATCGGCATCCTTCTTGTCCCCCTGGAAATGGCGGTCATAACCTTTACAAAATACAAGAATTCTTATTTAACGTCGCATATCTAAAATAATAAATCATTCGTATTGTAGTGCTATTCTTGCGAAAAACATAAAGTAGAATAATAATCACGTGCAGGAAATTACAAAGACTAGTTAAATGACAAACAAATATCACAGAGGCAATTTAACAAGTTAAACAAAGCAGCACATATATATAATCACAGACAGGAAGCATAAGAAATGTATATTTATAAAACTAGATATAAGTCCTGAAAACTTGTATGTTACACACGTATTTATAATTAGAGTTAAGGATGTACACCTCTGAGAAGTCAAAAGATTCCCGTATTAAACTTTTCTTATATGGATTTTTGGAAAAAGGAGTTAATGGCATAGTGGAAAATGCAAAAAAAAACTATATGTCCGTGTGTTCGTTTTTGTGTTATGATCGGTCAAAAATACCAATTTAACAAAACATGTGATTTTAGGTGATTTTTTGGGTTTTGACCATTTGCAGAACAAATTCATACAATTTCTTCTAAGTGTGTTATCAGATATGTATGAATGTTTGTAGAATTGATGAAAATATAATTTTCTTTGGAATTATGGAAGTAAAATTTCTAAATCTTATTCTTTTAACTCAGAAAGCCGATTTTAGTTACCCCTACCCCCTATTTTTTAATGAAAAAAATACTCATTTTTTACCATTTTTTGCAGATTAAACGCTTGATATAAAAAGTTCTGGTATTAAACTTTGTTCATATTTAATGAAATAAATGAAAATGTGTTTCTCTTTCTAAAACATCTACAACAATGGGGGGTCAGTGTGCTTCTTTTTTGTCCCATTATCATTTGTGGTTTTTTTTTACCTTTTTCGGGGTCAAAAATCAAAAGTTCTTCAGTAACACTAAATATGTAAAATAAATATCAATAATGTATCATTTTCCTGTTTGTTGCGTATTATTTTTATCATATTGAACATTATAAAAATGTACGGCAAAATTGAACCTGCTACAATTAAAAATGGCGACACATTGACAATTTAAGTGATCAATCTAGTGTCAAAAAAGGTGAAAGTTTGGCCTTTTTTGAAGTGCAAGAAATACACATTAATACACATTTTCAAAATGGCCGCTGAATTGGTATTTTTTTTAAATTCAGGTAAAAAAAGTTCTACAAACAACAGGCATCTAGTTTTTTGACATATTTTTCAGATGCGTGTTTGCTAATAAACTTGATCATAATTTGTTAAATATTACAAAAACCCATTACACCAGATCAAAACGAGACTTGAACGTGATCGAAACCTCAGAAGAGAACATCCTTAAAGCACCATGAACGTGTATGATACATATATAGGCCTACTTATATAATAAAACGTAAACACAGGATTCACACTAATATAATGACATTCTTGATGTTTGTTCTGTGCATGAATCGACCAACTGAAAACAACTGCCATTAGACCATGAATACACTATGAATACAACGATTCTCGTGCAACCAGTCAGCTGATTTACTACGCATAGTACCGTTTCTGATAAGAGTTATCTCCCCTTTTCCGTGATAACGTAGTTGCGAGAAATAATGATAAAGAATTGTACTATTATTATTATTATTGTTATGTTCTGAGGAGCGTTATCGCGCTCCACAGGATATGTAGATCAGCTACAGCTATTCATTGCCGCAATGTACACGAAAAAGAATCCATTCCATCCCTATATAGTGTGTTTTAAAATAGGACAATGATGTCAGTTACCAGAAACGTTTTAGCAGATCTATAAACCTATTTTAGAAGCATTTGATCAAAATATACTGCCTGACATTTCAATGTCCTACCTTGGTGCTTCGTACTGTTGGGGTTACATTGGTCGGCATGATTGTCATTGTCCTTCTGTGTAGGAACTTTGCCTCCTTGACCGGACATGGTGGCTGTCTAACTGGTGATGTGTGTGATTATCTGGAAAAGATACAGAAAAGAATTATTTAGATGCACATTAAGCACGGAAAATACGTTTTCATGCGTCAGTGTTCCCCACCAAACAGAAATCCATGACATTGAAAACTGTCATCTACGTAACGGTCTATGTTTATATAGTGCATTCCGCAGCGTATCTGGATTACCGATCAAATATAGGTGTCTCTAAATGATGGACATCCCCTTTTTACAATAATATATACGAAGTAGTTCAGTACAGTTTCACAAGTCTCCAGGCACTCCTCTATGACTAACTTCTATAACCGATAAAGTTCACCGAGCGATTCAGAAGCACTTACGTTGAAGGTTGACATGAGAGGTAAAAACTAAACCCATACATTGTGAACGCGACTCCTTTTTTCGAATTCTTTGGTGTCTATGATCACTAGTTTACCGCGCGGCATTCTAGGATTTAATTCTAAAAAATCTTATTATTTTTCTAGAACGTTATAACGATGCCATTTTGTTATTGTTTTACTGGTTTCAAATTCATTAATAATTAATTTGGTAATTTCAACAATCCCTTTTTAAATGCTCGATAACGCTCGATAGTACTTTGAAACTGAGTTTATATGTGAATACGGGGCATAGACCATGAACAAATAGAGCGGTTTGCTTTATTTTAGAATGTTTTAAACATGTTTCCGTATTTTATTTGAAAAAACTTCCACCTTTAGTTTAAACTGTAATGAATAATTAGTTATTCAATAATCTAACATATTTATATCACATAAATATGATTTCAGAAGGAAAACAACGTATATATGGCCTCTTAAGTTGACGTTGGAATGTGTAGCTGTATACCTAAAACCATGATGTAAGTGATGGTTGTTACAATGTTTATCTCCGAACAGAACGAGATGGTGAATTCGTTGTTAATGGTGGGCTATTTAGTGTGACAGTATCATTTTTTCTGGGGTTTAAAACGAACGAGGAAAAAAAGAGAAAAAGAAGAGAATTCGATATGTAGTTTTTGTGACCGTAAAAGGGGACGGAGTGGGGCATAAAAAACACTTGCACTATGTAACTGGAAGTTTTAAATACGAAAGCAATTTTTTTTAACGACAGAAAACAACTTAACAGTCGGAAAAAATAGACGTACCAATCATTTGTTTCCAACCTATGTTGCATTAAAAACCGTTATAGCTATATGTAAATATGTAGACGCCAATGACCGACAGAAGCAAATCTCCCCACGACGTGATCCAAAACTAACAACACCCACGAATTCTAACTTCATAGAAATCCTCTAATAAATGGTAACTTTTTTCTTTGTTTTTCTTCTTTATGTTTTGCTATTGTTTGTTAATTGATGGCTTTATTGCATGCTGTGTTAAACATTCATAGCGGTCCTCGCCAAGCCTGGACAAATCAAAACCAAAGAACAGGCTTTCTTCTTCCGCGGAAGATCTTTAAATGCTGTGTTAATAATTTCATGGTATGATTAATGGTATAAAATGTTGAAATACATATGAAAACGTTCAATAAATCAAAGAAAAAATGTAAAAAAAAAATACGAAAAGGCGAGTTTTTTCAGTGAGCATCATGAACTATATCAATCTCAGATTACTACGCTTTTTGGACCGAATAATTTCTTCACAAAAAAAACCCCAAAAAACCCCACTTTATCTCCTTCCGCGAAAGATCTTTAGATAATGTGTTCATTATTTCATGATATGATCAATGCTACATGTATAATATGGTAAAATATAGAAAATATGTAAGGGTCTTTAACAGCGGCGATTTTAATCAGTGAAAGTTACGAACTATATTTGGTTCAAATTACTACGCCTCGTATTCCAATACTCTAAAGTGTGTATGTGTAAGTGTTTTCTCCCATTGTCCATCATTGTGTAGTTTCATGCTCGCGACTTGTTGAACGACTGTTTGATAACTGTCCTTGATAAAGTAGGCTTCGTGTTTTCTTTGTCTCAATGGAAAGTCTCCAAGGGAAAGAGAATGTTGACTGATACTAAAGAAGCTGTCAGCAGCTGTGCCTAACGAGTTTGTAGATAGCTTCCCAATACAGTCTCTAGATAATGGCCCGATTAGTTTAATACAAGTGCTTCGTGAATATATATATATAGCATATTGAGCATCAAAAGTTAAAACCGTATATACATATCATTCTAATTAACCAGAAACTGATTAATTATATAGGTCTTTAACCGTCGTTACAATATCGAGAGAAGGAGAGATACACAAGGGACTTGCATAAGTCCGTGATTACACGCACTGGAAATAATACAATCTCGTTTTAATATTTTGTATAATTAATCATGATACTGACAAATTGTAATAATAATATCATAATTATTTAATTATATGATCTATATAACATTTCTTTATTTAATTTTGTATTAAATCGTAAACTTTCCCATAATCTTACGGGGCAATTTTGGTTTGCAGGGTTGTCTGATCAAGTCACTGATACTAATTTTAAAGGATCAGTAGCTTCATTCCTTGAAGGATTTCTATCGATTTGAAACACTAATAGGACCATAATATCAGACAAGTTTCAATTTCAAGGCTGTTGGGTCAAGGTCATCGTTACTTCTTTGTATACTCCAAATGATAGCCAGTAAGGGACCTTATATTGTTTAAGCAATACTCTGCTTGTTATATATATTTTTATTGAAAAATATGATTAAGGGGCTATTGACCCTTAATCAACAACATTTTCTTTATTATTAACTGCCATTCTGTACAGATATACCACCTCCTTCACAGCATCCCTGAGTGCCCTCGGCACTTTGATGTTATAATATACATGTACTAGTACGAGCTTAGTCAGTAGCATCCGCCCTACAATGCCTTAATAACATCTGAAATTATTGATGTGCTCGACTTTCTCAAAATATACGCGTTTAAAAAAACTAATTACAACTGTTTTAAACATTACAGAGCGTAGTCGGGGAATCACATCGCTTGTACTTTCAAAAAAATCGGATGATTCACAGCTTCTGATCCAAAAATCTAAAACAAAAGGTAGATTTACCTGGAGATATTGTTGAGATGTACAGTATGGATACTTGAATGGGCGCTTTGTGACTCGTGTCGATCTCACCGCCTACTATGGATAACGCATCACTGGAAATTTTCAGGTTTCTTTTCGTGCTTCCACGAAACAGTCCGTTGTATTGGGTCACCTTACCTTGGCCTTGTATCGTTATTGTTTTTGTCAATCGCAAACATATCTACTGGTTAACTAATTCAATACTACGCAGTGTGTATTGATATGTCTCGAGATCGAGCTAATTCGTCAACCCACGAACTTGAATAATAAACATAACCGGCTAACAATAATGACGTACATTTTTTCATTGAAAAATGAGATGGCGTTTACTTGGAATTGTCTGTGAGAACCTGTCACGGGGGAAGGCGTTTACTTGGAATTGTCTGTGAGAACCTGTCACGGGGGAAGGCGTTTACTTGGAATTGTCTGTGAGAACCTGTCACGGTGGAAGGCGCACTACAGTAAACGATATTAGTTTCAAGTGGAATTTCAGTCAAGTAAAATTGATATTTTAATTGCACAAATATTGATGTCAAATCAGCCGTCCCTGAAATTCCTTGATATAAATGTTTTGCAGCCTGACAATAATGACATGGGTTTTTTTCTCTCATGAAATTACCACATATACCCCCTACCGATACTATTCTGTGTTTACACTGATGTCCTCGTGTATCTGCAGTTTACATATTGATTCTGTTTACTAGAAACTAAAGAGGTTGAGAAAACATGTCCCCATTTACCTGAGCCATGCGCATGTCTATACTCTGAGTCATGTTATGTTTTCTGAAAACAGCACTATTGAATAGAGATTAAGTAAACCAGTGGTTAGGGGGCAGATTTCTATCTGCATATTCACATTGCATATAGGCATATAGAAATATACATATTTAACAGTACTTAACAAATAAATTGTACAATGACGGACAACATATGCAATAGATTAAATTCAATACTTAACAATTACAAATTTACGAAATAGTTATAAGTGAGAGGAAAACTAAGAGCTTTTCCGAAGGAAACTTAGCGGACTCCTATGAATCATGATTTAATTGTTTAAGGAATTATACAAATTAGCCTTTAGCTACATGTAGCCAAAATCTCTAGGAAAATAAAAATTCAAAGTCAATCACACAATCTCAACATGAAGGTAGAACGATTATAATATATTACATAGTGAACATGAGAGTATACACTCTTTGTTAAGTATGAGAAACAAGACGTGTATATACGGCGTATGCTAACAGTTCATTTAATCAAGTACTTGCCCAAAATTCTAATGAGTTTCAAATTTTTGCTAGACAGTAACTCTATTAACTTGAAAACAGAACTGAGCAGGTACAATCATAACAATGGTTGAGCATCACTGAGTAGGTACTATTGTTTACTATGGCTGAGCATCACTGAGCAGGTACAATCATAACAATGGTTGAGAATCACTGAACAGGTACAATTGTTAACTATGGCTGAACATCACTGAGCAGGTACGATTGTTAACTAGGACTGAGAATCACTGAGCAGATACAATTGTTAACTAGGGCTGAGCATCACTGAGCAAGTACAATTGTTAACTAAGGCTGAGCACCACTGAGCAGGTACAATTGTTAACTAGGGTTGAGCATTACTGACCAGGTACAATTGTTATATAGGGTTCAGCATTACTGACCAGGTACAATTGTTATATAGGGCTGAGCNACTAGAGTTGAGCATCACTGAGCAGGTACAATTGTTAACTATGGTTGAGCATCACTGAGCAGGTACAATTGTTAACTAAGGCTGAGCACAACAGGTGTTTTATTGAACCCGAAGGCCAAACTGTCTAGCTGGAAAAACTCAAAATAATGTGTCAAGTTATTCCGGCGTGTTCTTTATGTTTTCCAATGCCTTATCTGGGTAAAGAACTGAAAACTGGAATTGACCTCTTTTGGGCTGTGTGCTACACACGAACGAGTTTATTTGTGTTTGGTTTGAGAGCTAAGAGCCGATTAAATTACCTCACGCAGTATTAGTTAATCACGCTCTCAAAATAAACTCAAAACACTACAGCATTGATATTTTTTTAAACTTAAGAAATAAAGTATAACAAAACAATTAATCAAATCAATATGTTTTATTAAGAGACATGGTTAAATTGATTCACAACATCAAAACTTTTTGCTGGTATGCAATTTCTTGTACATTTAAAAAAAGTTAATGTTCTCAAATTTTGTTTTCAGACGCCATAGTCTCATATTCCTGGATTGTCCAGCCGTTTATCACTTTTTGGGGGCTGTGTACTTGTCGTTGTTTGGATTTCGCTGGACGCTGTGATTATCGGCATCATTCTTGCCCCCCTTGAATGGGCTGCTATAACCTTTACAAAATACAAGAATTCTTAATTAACGTCGCATATCTAAAATAATAAATCATTCGTATTGTAGTGCTATTCTTGCGAAAAACATGAAGTATAATAATAATCACGTGCAGGAAATTACAAAGACTAGTTAAATAACAAACAAATATCACAGAGGCAATTTAACAAGTTAAACAAAGCAGCACATATATATAATCACAGACAGGAAGCATAAGAAATGTATATTTATAAAACTAGATATAAGTCCTGAAAACTTGTATGTTACACACGTATTTATAATTAGAGTTAAGGAGGTACACCTCTGAGAAGTCAAAAAATTCCCGTATTAAACTTTTCTTATATGGATTTTTGGAAAAAGGAGTTAATGGCATAGTGGAAAATGCAAAAAAAAACTATATGTCCGTGTGTTCGTTTTTGTGTTATGATCGGTCAAAGATGCCAATTTAACAAAACATGTGATTTTAGGTGATTTTTGGGGTTTTGACCATTTACAGAACAAATTCATACAATTTCTTCCAAGTGTGTTATCAGATATGTATGAATGTTTGTAGAATTGATGAAAATATAATTTTCTTTGGAATTATGGAAGTAAAATTTCTAAATCTTATTCTTTTAACTCAGAAAGCCGATTTTAGTTACCCCTACCCCCTATTTTTTAATGAAAAAAATACTCATTTTTTACCATTTTTTGCAGATTAAACGCTTGATATAAAAAGTTCTGGTATTAAACTTTGTTCATATTTAATGAAATAAATGAAAATGTGTTTCTCTTTCTAAAACATCTACAACAATGGGGGGTCAGTGTGCTTCTTTTTTGTCCCATTATCATTTGTGGTTTTTTTTTACCTTTTTCGGGGTCAAAAATCAAAAGTTCTTCAGTAACACTAAATATGTAAAATAAATATCAATAATGTATCATTTTCCTGTTTGTTGCGTATTATTTTTATCATATTGAACATTATAAAAATGTACGGCAAAATTGAACCTGCTACAATTAAAAATGGCGACACATTGACAATTTAAGTGATCAATCTAGTGTCAAAAAAGGTGAAAGTTTGGCCTTTTTTGAAGTGCAAGAAATACACATTAATACACATTTTCAAAATGGCCGCTGAATTGGTATTTTTTTTAAATTCAGGTAAAAAAAGTTCTACAAACAACAGGCATCTAGTTTTTTGACATATTTTTCAGATGCGTGTTTGCTAATAAACTTGATCATAATTTGTTAAATATTACAAAAACCCATTACACCAGATCAAAACGAGACTTGAACGTGATCGAAACCTCAGAAGAGAACATCCTTAAAGCACCATGAACGTGTATGATACATATATAGGCCTACTTATATAATAAAACGTAAACACAGGATTCACACTAATATAATGACATTCTTGATGTTTGTTCTGTGCATGAATCGACCAACTGAAAACAACTGCCATTAGACCATGAATACACTATGAATACAACGATTCTCGTGCAACCAGTCAGCTGATTTACTACGCATAGTACCGTTTCTGATAAGAGTTATCTCCCCTTTTCCGTGATAACGTAGTTGCGAGAAATAATGATAAATAATTGTACTATTATTATTATTATTGTTATGTTCTGAGGAGCGTTATCGCGCTCCACAGGATATGTAGATCAGCTACAGCTATTCATTGCCGCAATGTACACGAAAAAGAATCCATTCCATCCCTATATAGTGTGTTTTAAAATAGGACGATGATGTCAGTTACCAGAAACGTTTTAGCAGATCTATAAACCTATTTTAGAAGCATTTGATCAAAATATACTGCCTGACATTTCAATGTCCTACCTTGGTGCTTCGTACTGTTGGGGTTACATTGGTCGGCATGATTGTCATTGTCCTTCTGTGTAGGAACTTTGCCTCCTTGACCGGACATGGTGGCTGTCTAACTGGTGATGTGTGTGATTATCTGGAAAAGATACAGAAAAGAATTATTTAGATGCACATCAAGCACGGAAAATACGTTTTCATGCGTCAGTGTTCACCACCAAACAGAAAACCATGACAATGAAAACTGTCATCTACGTAACGGTCTATGTTTATATCGTGCATTCCGCAGCGTATCTGGATTACCGATCAAATATAGGCGTCTCTAAATGATGGACCTGTTTACAATATACGAAGTAGTCCAGTACAGTTTCACGTGCAAGTCTCCAGCCACTCATCTATGACTAACTTCTATAACCGATAAAGTTCACCGAGCGATTCAGAAGCACTTAGGTTGAAGGTTGAAATGAAAGGTAAAAACTAAACCCATACATTGTGAACGCAACTTTGGTGTCTATGATCACTAGTTTACCGCGCGGCATTCTAGGATTTTATTGAAAAAAAATCTTATTATTTTTCTTGAACGTTATAACGATGCCATTTTCTTATTGTTTTACTGGTTTCAAATACATAGATAATTCATTTGGTAATTTCAACAATCCCTTTTTAAATGCTCGATAACGCTCGATAGTACTTTGAAACTGAGTTTATATGTGAATAGACCATGCACAAATAGAACGGTTTGCTTTATTTTAGAATGTTTTAAAAATGTTTCCGTATTTTATTTAAAAAAACTTCCCCTTTAGTTTAAACTGTAATGAATAATTAGTTTTTTCAATAATCTAACATATGTGTTATCACATAAATATGATTTCAGAGGGAAAACAACGTGCATATGGCCTCTAAAGTTGACGTTGGAATGTGTAGCTGTATACCTCAAACCA